TCTCCTAATATTAACATTATAAAAATTATCTCAATATTCATCCATATTTGATTCTACAAATATTTCAATCTTGACCCTTTTTTTTTTTTCAAATTATGCCTGAAAAATAAATTAAATGGGAAGTATACAATATGACACAAAGTTATATGCTCAGGAGAGTAATAAGAATAATTGTATCAATCAAATAAGCTCACTCAATTAGTATCGCATATCAGAACATTAGTACATATCACATATCATGCACGACCTGAATTTGACATCTCTTAATACACGTGTTACATATCGATTATTCAAAATTTTATCACCAATTATAAACATCATTTTATAAAAATCCAGGACGTGTCACATATCGATTATTCAAAATTTTATCACCAATTATAAACATCATTTTATAAAAATCCAGGACGTTACACACAGAGTTCATTACATAGGCCATGCAAGGGCAATTTTATAGGAACTTAATATTTGGATATAATCAATAACCTAATTCAAAGAAATCATCAACTTAGTTGTGGATTATAATTTTAGAGAGAGTTCATTATTATCCAACCATTGTAATTGATTGCGTCCTCAAGTTAGGTTCAAATAATGTTTTGTAAGCCATAACCACACACAATGCAAATGCATTCTTCAAGGTCACGGGCTTATGCGTGACAGAATAGAACAAATGCATTCTTCAGGGTCATTATTTCTATTACTTACTTTACAGATTGAATTCTAATCTGAATCTGACCCAAAAAAAAAAAAAAGGATAGGATTCTAATCTGAATGTTTTAATACAATTCATCATTGGACCAGTTGAATTTTATCCATTGACATGCCTAATCCTCAATATCGGTCTATAACAATAGAGACTACCACAATAAATCAGCTCATTTAAATTCTTTTTTCCTTTGGTCATAAAAATAACTCAGGTTTAGTTGGGTTTGGCTACAGTATTAAAAAGGAATCATACTTTCTTCTTTGTCCGATAAAAATATGACTCACGTAAAACCTTCTTGATTATTTACCAGAACAATTTCATGATAAATAGTTTAAAAAAAAATTTAAACAATATTTTTTAGCTTAAAATTATATTTTGGTATAGTACTTAAGAATCATTTTCTTATTTCTTTGTTTTTTGTTTGGTAACCTTCCTAGGGCTGCAAGTTTATTTGTAGCCTAACTTTCCGAGGGCTATATCTATGGAGGAACAAAAAGAAACACCAAAGGACATGTCATGTACCTCTCTAACACCGTTACACAGCCACATGCTACGCTTAGGGACGCACGCTCACTTGAATTTTTTTGTATTTGCATTAGAGAAAACCATGACAAAGTCAATTGGTGTGCTTACCCAACGAAAATTTATTACGATATTAGTTTGTTAGAAATGTATAATACTTTGGTGGTTATGTACGCCATATTACTCCGAGTTCGGTTGTGTAATAAAAGCAATGTTACATAAATTTTAAAAAGTAAACTTGATAATTAGAATAATTGATTTTACTGTGAGTCTCTATATTTATTGGGATTCATTACTTATTCAATAGTTGTAATTACCAAATTTATTTTTTAAATTCATGTAACATTATTCATGTAATAAATATACAAGAAAATATTTCTTGACGCGAAGGAGTGAACATGCTAACAACCTAATAATATGGCAGTGATATAACCCAATAGTGTTGTTGTGACTGTAATTCTTAAACTTCTTCATTATAATTTTATTATTTGACAAGTCATTTGGTGAATAAATTAGATCTTTGGGGTCTCATATATTACTCATGTGAGAATATTTAAGCCTCTTACAATGGTGACCATAAAAAACAAATTTTCGAGTGCCATGAATTTTTTTTGTTCAATGAATATTTGGTACCATACCAAACCTTTTCCGTAGGAAAACTTTTTGTTACCACGGTGTCACCTTGTCCAACAATCAGGGGCGGAGCCAGACATCTTTTCTAGTAAGGGGCAACTTCAATTATATTAATATTAAAATTTAAAATATTCAAAAAAATATAATTTTATTAATAGAACACTAATTAAAGACGCAATTCATATACATGAGCGATATACAAAATAAACCAACAAAAAAAAAACTCATTATAGATTTATTTATAAAACAAAAAAATTTTGAAACTACAAAATTGGGCTCAATTATATATTAAATTTTAAGAAAAATTTTCATAACTAATTCAAAAATTAATTTGTTCAATCACAAACTTAATATTCATCATTAAATTTTAACAAACAATCGAAACTAACTTAAACTATAATTATTCTAGTAAACTAAACTAGGTATATGAAATACTTAACTTATCACAACAAAACTATTCAAATTACCAAATCAAAATAATTTAGTCTAATTATAATAGAGGACTACAAGTCTCAATTCCAATTCTACAAATAAAAATAAAACAAATGAAACGACTACAAGTCATAATTCCAATTCAACATATAAAAATAAAATGCTAGAGAGAACTACAAACCCAAATATCAATTAAATATATAAAAAATAAATCATAGAAGAGAACTACAAGCTCCAATTTTATTTGAACATAGAAAAATAAATACAGAACTACAAATTCTAGTTTCAATTTAATACATAAAAAAATAAAACATAAGAGATGGTTACAAGTCCCAATTTCATATTTTCAATTCAACATTTAACAATTAAAATAAAATAGAGAGTTACAGGAGTTAATTTCAATTCAACATTTAAAAAATAAACTACAAAAGAAGACTACAAACCTAATTTTTAATTTTAACATATAAATATAAAACAAAGAAAATGACTACAAGCCCTAAATTTAGTTCAATGTATAAACATAAAATAAATGAGAGAGCTAACCTATTTCGTAGCATATTAGTTAATTTTTAAATGTCTAAATTTTTAATATTATCTTCCATTAATATTTACAAGTGAGACTTATATATTTGTCAAAATAATATAACTACCCTTAAAACTTTTAAAAAACATTCAGTGGTGCAAATTTTTAAAATTATACTTAATTCGTACAATTTTTTAAAATTCCAGTGGGGGCAGCTGCCCCCACTGCCTCCCATGTGGATACGCAACAACCTATATTTTGTTTCTCCCAACCTACAATCTATATACTGCACCATTTCACTGCTATATCTAAGACTTTTTCAGCTACCCTATCTAGACCAGATCCCAAGAAGAATGTAGCAGCATACAGAGAGAGGATCCCAAGAAGAATGAAGCAGCATAGAGAGAGAGAGAGAGAGAGAGAGAGAGCCATGCCTCATATAAGAAGATACATAGGATTATGCATGGTAACTTTTTAAAATTAAAATGCTCAAGGCTCAATTGAGAGAGAGAGAGAGGACCATGCCTCATATATGAACATACATACGAAGATACATAGGAGTATGCATGGTAACTTTATATATGAAGATACATAGGATTATGCATGGTAACTTTGGAAAATGGAAATGCTCAAGAATCAAGTGAGAGATGGAGGACCATGCCTCATATATGAAGATTCATAGGATTATCCATGGTAACTTTGAAAAATGGAAACGCTGAAGGCTCAATTGGTAGTTTTAGAGTTACTATGTGACCCTGGAAAGGTCTGGTATTTACTACTTCCAGTTAGTTAGCTTTACACAATGAGTACAGCAATTCTAATATGTGGGTAATCCCTCTCAGAAACCAAATCAGCAAATCGGGACATTTTTTTGTCTTCTATATGGGTGTTGGCTTGTGAAATGGGTCCAACCCCTCTTTTTAACTCTTTCTATGGTAACTTTGTCTCTACATATAAGTCAGTGAGTTTCATAATTGCATTATCATTCTACTAGGTAACAGTGAGCACAGACAAACACGCAAGTGTGTGTACGCGTGTGAGAGAGAGATAACATTTCCTGGAAACTCCATATTAGAATCGAAGAAATAAGGCAATTAGGGAAAGGATGATGATCGCCACAATTATCTTGTACTATGTTAAAGAGTAATACTATTTTGACCTAATTTGCGTTAAGGAGTAATATTAATTGAACCTAATTTGCTGATATAATACTGTGCTTTCATAGAAAATATTGAATCAACACTAAATTTTAATGTTTGGTGGGGTCTATAATGAATACAAAAGTCATAGTGAATTAGGTTAGCAGATTATGTCAATAAATTATATCTCAATAATATTACTCCTATGCTAAGTGTCACGGGTAAAATTACAATCACAATTTTTTGCCTCTATGATGACACTAATTTACTCACTTAGCCTATTAGTCAGAAATAGAAGTCTTCTGGAAATGGCTTGTATTGAATCTTCTGTTCATAGTTAGACCTTTATTGATGACCCACTATTCTTGTTAGTACCGTGCATTACACCCATTATGCTAACATAACTTCATATATATAGACCACATTTTTCGTAGATAGTATGAAAGCAAGATCAAGGCTGAAGCTGAATATCTCAAGTGGGATTAGGAATGGACCATGATTTTGCGAGTCGAATTTAATTACTTTCTCCTTCCCAATCTTGTCTTAAGCTAAACAAATGCCATTCGGTCTACATTACCTTTCCGTTTAAGATCTTTACAGCTTGTAAAGAAGGTAGGATCCATTTTCTTTACACTTACTATATCTATAAACCTAGACATTGATTTCCTTTTGAAAAGTCTCTCTCTCTCTCTCTCTCTCTGCTAATACTAAATATAGTTGTTTCAGGACCACCAATAGCAAGAGGCCTGGATCCAGCTGAAACACAGAATTGAACTCTTTAAAATACTTCATGGCCTTACCTTATTATTAGAGAGAGGGGAAAGTTTTTTCAATTTTTGTGTGCAGGGGTTCTCCTAGAGTTTCCCACAGTTCGGGATTTTTAACACTGTATCCAAAGGCATCGAGAATGTCGAGCATTCAGGCCCTCCTTGTTCCTTAGAAACTTCAAGGCAACCAAAGAGGGTGTAGGGGGAGATGGAGCGGCAATACAACTTAATGTCCCATACCATAAAGATGAGAAAAGAAATTTACCAAGGGGCCAAGTGTACCTCCGGTTCAGAAACAAAATGGGACAGAACCAACCGCCACACGTATCTATGCTAACTAGATAGAAAAGTTCCTTGTCAATTATTCTACGCCTTCCGTTAAGAAGCTAGACAGAATAAACGTTCATACACCTTTGCACATTCTGTTGTTTCTATTAGAGTGTGGATGGGGCAACAAAATCCTAAGAACAACTATTTTTTCTTGAAGACTATAAAGACTTAAGCACAAATTTTAGCAGTTGAAAGCCAAAGTTATTCCACTGGCTTCAAATCTCCCACCCCAATAATAAACTTACCAAGGCTAGAGTTATGAAAGCCTAACATTATAAGAGTAGAAGAGACGCAATAAATCAGCATTAGTTTTGTAGTTGGTCTGTGTATATATATGCAGTTCATCAATTACTTGAAAGGGCTGCCGTAGTCTTTGCTGGTCTCCGAGATTGAACTCCAATCCCACTGGTAGTACTGGTCAGAGTAGGTGGCCTGATGTGCTGCCGGCATCATATTGAGAGCAAGTGACTGTGGTGGTGCCAACAAATTAGAGAACTGGGAAGGATGAACATGATGATACTGTTCCTGATGATTGATTGAATCTTGTTGGTAGCTTACAAGTCTGTGGAGATCATCAACACCATTTGATTGCATTGAAGAAGAGCCCATAAATATGCTTGTGGAAAAGTAACCCTTTGGTACTGTAGTCTGTCTTGATTGATCCAATAACGACATTGTATCCTCATCAGTTGAAGCTGGCGTTTCCACTGTGGTGTTCATCAGATTTGGGGCTAATTCAATGTAAGAGTTATGGTTGGAAAGCCCGAGAGCAGTCCCAACATCAGTGCTACTACTTCCACTTGTTTCACTCATTTTTTCGTCGATTTGTTTTGCTTGTGATCCTGTAAGAGCTTGGAATCTCTCAATGACATGATTGGTTGCGTCATACTTTTTCTTATGATCTGATTGTGCCCCTCTTGATGAGGATGCCCTTGTTGGTAGAGAACGAGGGAGTGATGGATGATCTTCTACTCCCGGTCTTTTGTAAACTCGACAAAGAGAAATTTCAGCCTGAAAACAAAGTGGAAGGAAGATAAAGAGAAATTTCAGCTGGAAAGCAAAGTGGATTTAAGGAAGATAGAATTGATATTGATGAAGCAATTTCATGTAGGATATGGGATTTCACTGCAAATGTCTCCAACATTATGTATTGTCTCTTTTGTTGAAGTTATTACTTATTACAGAATCAGTAGTATTTAAAGCAAGGGATGTTTATGGGTCACTGAATTTAAAGGTCATGCATGTTGGTCTAAATTTCCGTGACAAACATTAAAGAACTCAGCAGATAAAACAATATTGGAGGCTCAGCGCAGTTTTTCCCCGTTTCCTTGTCCTTCAATTTTGCTTTCAGGCTATATTGGCTTTCGAATAAATTTTCTTTCTATACCAGCTATATGCATCAACATCTTTGGAACTAAGCTAAAATAAAAAGTCCAAGGTATAAATCTATTGGCCTTTTCTAGATATAAACTAGGTTTCAAAGTAAAACAATTGTATTAAGGACAAAGTTTTTGTGTTCTTCTATTTGCAGAAAGATAGGCAATCTAAAGTACTTGAAACGATTCGATATTCTATGGAAAATAAAGGTAGATCATTTAGTAAGGAAAAACCCTCTTAAATTTTGTCTGCTTGAGACTTTTATGTTTGAGATTTTTGCTTTTCTTCTCCTCGTTTTAGTTGTATTGCAGTGCTAACTTTGAATGAAGGAATATATAGAGACACACCTTCTGTAACTGTTCGGTTTCATGCTGTGGTAGACGGTATTCGTTCATGATCCAGCTAGTCCTGATGCCTTTTGGAGCTTTTCCAGTGTAGAAAACAAGGGTCTTCTTCAGCCCGATTGACTGGGAATTCTCGGTGCGGATCATTCGGTCAGCGCCGGTGGCTTTCCAGTAGCCTGAAGTGGTCACTCGATTTGGTCTATCCCCGTTACGATACTTTCGATCTCTAGGCACATAAAAGAACCATTCCTTCTCTCCAATTGCTGCCATGGCTGACATGAACAAAGAAAACAGAAACAACACCAATCAAACAAAGAGAGAAAACATAATAATTAATACCAGAAAAAATGTCGTAGGCCAAAATTGTGTACACCTTAACAAGAACGCATCAACAAAATGGTCATTTGTTGATGTTGAAGAAAGAGTGAAAATTGAAAAGAAAGGTGAAATGAGTGGATGTAAAATGATGAAGAGAGTGGTCTTGAAGAGAAAGAAAGTATACCAGGAAGTTCCCAAGGGTCATAGCGATAAAGATCTAGAAAAGTGATGAGTTCGACATTGAAACGCTTGCCCTCGACCTTACGGCGAAGGTAGAACTCAACAAGTTCTTCCTCGGTAGGGTGGAAGCGAAAGCCGGGCATAACCACGTCGTGTTCATGCTCATCTTTGCTTTCATCTTGGCTCATCGTTGCTGCAATTGCCATAAAATGAAGAGAACTTGTAATCAAGTCTATGAAATCCTCTTTAGCTTGACTTCTCCTCTTTATACATGGAGTTATTGTACTATTACAGGGAGATGCAAGTTGTGGAAGGGAAGATAAGAGAGGGTTAAACTATTGTACAACCCAAAAGTTAAGTCTCTCTCCCCCACCCAAGTAAAAGGAGAGGGAGAGAGAGAGAGAGATTCAACGACTTGGAGGCATACTACACGATATTATTAGCTCTGATTTAGACCACTATAATTTTAAAAAAAATGGCATAACCATGATCTAAAATGCATTTTTATGAAATACGTCAACTACACATCATTTTTGGCTCCAAGCCTTAGGAGTCTTGGCTCTTGGATCTAGATCACTAGAATCCACCCACGTAGGGCTATGCAATCTCGTGGTACCCTGTCCTACATTTTTTTGTTAATACTAGCTCTGATACTATATGATACTGAAGAATGGATTGGGCAGACCCAATTTAAGAGCCGATCCTTATGAGACTTTCAATCAAGATAGATGAGATGAGGTGAGGTGAAGATAATGAGTCGATATATTTTATCGCACATCACTTGATGAAGTATTTTACATTTGTAAATTTTAGATTTTGTTGAATGTCTTTAAATGACTTGTACAATAGACACCAATGTTGTACGTGTTACAGTGAAAGACGGGTGGAGTTAACAGAAAGAAGAAAATGACATCTCAAACAGATGACAGGGTGGCCACAGCCCGTTAGCGTTGGGTTTGGAGCCTTCTTAATTCTACCATAAATTTTGTAAAAATCTAAATATCTAATTTATACACTTTTTATGGGTCAATTTTTTTTATGTCCTCTTTTACCCTGTCAACTTCTACGACAAATTTTTGATATTTCAACGTCAAGTCTATTATCAACACTTGATAATTTTATTAGAAGGTTTATTTTATATGAATACATTTGTTCTAGTATGAATGACCTACTATTAATCAAATCGAAAAAGAGATTAGTAAATATACGTCAATTGATCCAAATACCTTTGACCGTGAACAACAAAAACAAAAAACTTATAAATTACATGAGCTTCACACCTCTATTACCTTGTACGATTATGTGCCTACTTTCTTGTCTCTGCCAAATTACTATAATGCTAATATAATTGTGTTGGAATAGTTCACTTACAAATGTGTCGTAGTATGGGATGTGATAATTATCTTGTTTCAGAATAGGTTATTTGAATTATAAAAAGAAAAAGTTGCTATTAGTATCTAATTTGGGGACCTAATCCGAAGACTAATGAATTACAATTATTGGATTAAGAGTAAGCTTTATCGGACATTAGATCTCACAACTAATCCAATAACTATAATGAATTAAATTCCTAATTAAGTTCCTATAACATTGATCTTCTAAATAATTCTCTTCAAAGTATAGGCATGTTTTGCACTTTGTTGTATGCAACCCTTTTTTTTTCTCAATGAAGCCAATTTTACCCCATTAGAAAAAACCTATATGAGATAAGGATTTCTCTAAATTTGTTCTTTATCCATAAGTTGGCTAAATTTTTGCCCATTTACGTTACAAATAAACTTACCCTATGAACTTTTGCCCAAAATTTCATTTTGACCCCTAGAATTCTTTTCCCAAACATTGGTCAATTATTTTCAACTACCCTATTTAATAGTGCACGCTCCAAACCACTATTTATTTTATCTTAATTATTTTCAAATGGATATATAGGAAAAGATCAATGTTACTTAGACCAAAAATATTGACCTAATCAAATGTTATCACTAATTTCACTATGTGTTTCATTTATTTATTGCGATCCACTATCTATTCTATAGTTGTGATTGATTAAGTAAGTAAATCAAGTTAACATTTTTGATCCACGTAGCATTTTACATAAGAAAATGTGCATTTTGCATGTCTTCTAAACAGGTAGGAGGTTTTTTTTTTTTTTTTTTTCTTTTTTGTGGTTTTGGGAAGTATTGTTTTCAGTGTTAATTAAAGCTTTGTCCATTTTTTGAATTTCAAAGAAAAAAAGTGCACATACCCACTCAAAATAGGTCCTTGCACTAATGAAGTGTCCTGAAAACATATTTTTTCTTTAACAAACCAGAAGTGAAAAATGAAACTAGGTAAGAGAGAGTGTTTTTAGCAATTTATCTCTCTAGAAACCTTTAGATATGCGCATCAATACCAAGGATTGTTAGAAACCCACATGGGAGATGCAAAAGCAATCTCACATCGAATATGTAAAGGAACCAAATTGAGTTCATACAAGAAACCAAGCCAATATTAATGCTTAGTCCCATACTTCTGGGAAAGAGGAGGAGGGGCGAGCAAGGAAATTTCATGGAGAAACCTAGGACACTCTAGTATTGATGCCTTTTCCATTGAAATGTTTGGGGATGTTCTTATGTGTATGCCACTGTATCTAATATATATAATTTTCCTAGACACGGAATGATTTTGGCCTCTCTGAATGTGGAAAGAGAAAGCCTTTCTTTTCCCTAGTCTCTCTCATTGTGAGAGCATTGTCATAGTATATTAGGTTCAGTGGGAGCATCTCTATTATTTCAGTGTGCTCTTTGTGGCCTACGAACATGTCTAGGACTACATTTAAATAAATTGCTTTTCAAAAGCCAGATACAGCAAAACCTTCGTAATCACGAGTCGCACTTTTAGGTTTAATTATTTGATTCTAAAAACAATAAATATTTTAGTTTTAGCGTAGATGACCTATCATTGACTGGACCGAGGAGGTGATTAGTCAAAATATACGTAAGCTGACCTAAAAATCCCTCACCGTTGTACAAAAAAAAATGATAAAA